AAGGCTCTATAGTATCTCCATTTGCTCCACAACTCAAACACTGTCTGTTCCGGTCCTTTTACAGCACTGGGAACATCTCTCTAGCTTTGCCTGCATTTTACCTTTCTTGGGAGAATCTACAACCAATTTTTGGAGACACTTAGCACTTCATGGTCCACAGAACATATGTACTGTGATACCTGTTTTTTTCCCCATTACCCACCAACCCTACTTTTAACCAGTGCAGGGAATGCTGCTATGGCTGTAGAGAGTGTACCTGTGCCACTCTCCCCAGCTAGCACCGGCAAAAGCCTCTCTAGGTGGGAAGAGAGCCTGGCTGGCTGGGAGTAAGGGCTTTGTGCATTTCCAAAAAGCTTTCAAGATCTGGCAAGCATGCTAAGTCCAAGACACCACCCTTTAGAAGGTTGGAGAGACCGTCAGCTCCCCTCCACATTGAATAAATGGATTCCCTATTAAACCAGGAGGCTTGGAAACGAGTAAAGAGCTGGAGGCATCACTGAGCAGACTGTGGTGGAGGAGGTAATAAACAGTTGTGCAGGCACACACACCACCCAGCCCCAGATGGAAAGAGGCAGCAGACACAACTGAAACACAGGAGAGAGGATAGAGGATGTTTCCCATCCTGGGTTCATTTTTCGCTCTTTTTCCCCATTTAACAAAATCTCAGTCTACGGAGTTGGGGAGGTTTTTTGAGGGTGTTGGTTTTAAATGAAGACTGTAGGAGGATCACAATAAACTAAGTGCTGCAGTGCCACCAGCAGTACAATTTCTGTCTAGGAACAACAGGGCACTAAAACAGGCTGCCTAGAAGATTTAATCTCCGTCCTTTTAGCTTTCCTGTTCATCACAGATCCATTTACTGGTCCATGCCGTGACTTTCTGGCTACTGCTTAGCTCCAAACCTGACCTTGTGAACATAAATCACATAATCTGTGTTTTTCCTCCCATGCAGGCTACCATCAGCACCAATTAGGCTGGCACAGAGGAGCTGCATCACTCTCCTCTGATGTAAGAATGAAGCATCAGGGGAGAAGGGAGGGAAGAGGTGTCTCCAGCAGATTTTCAGCTAGTTGCAGGTAGCCTGCTTTATGATAGCAGCCACTATCTAGCTCCTGTTTTAAACACTAGTGCTGGAATGTTGAAGCAAGGGCTAGAGAAGAGGTTGGCCCTGTGAAATAAGCAGCCACACAAGGCTTGCTTGTGCGAACCCCTCCTGAGCTGTGCAGCCATGCTCCTTCCCTCCCATACACACCTGAAAGATTAATTTGGCCTCCCAAATTATTGCCCTTGGCAATAGTTAAGTCTAACATTGGTGAAGGAAAGTGCAGACTTGTGTTATCAAAAACCCCTTAATTACCCAAGAGCTAAATCTAGGTCCCTCCTCCTCTGCAATGGCCAAGCTTGCTTATGCTGGGCCAGTGACAGACCTCTGCCCTCGGTCTTGTATCCCATTGGAGATCATGGTCCCACCAAGCTTTAATGGACAGCTTTGTGTTGTAGTTCATACAGTACCACAGAGGCAACAGCTTGCTCCAGCACCAAAGCCAGCCTCACCACAGCAGTGCAGAGCCTGGCTTGGGCTGATCCCCCTTAACGCTGTGTTCCCCATTAATCACAATGAACATTTTCAGCTTCATAGTGTTGGAATTAACAGAGATACTTCCTTTACCATACCCACATGCATGCACACACTGGTATTACAAGTTAAACTTGCCTGAGAGAACAACTTCTCTCCCTAGAAGAGACCACATGCACACATTGTAATGCAGCCAGGAAGGGCAGAGCAAAGTGCTCATTGCTACAAGCCTCATAGCTGAATAGTAGGCTCTGCTCTACAGACCCTGGAAGTTTCTACCTGGCTTGGGCAACTCAGATCCCTGGTTAAATGTTACCTCTTCCTGCATCTGCTGAGATTTAGGAAGAATCTGCTGTGGTTTTGCAGGACAGCTGCTCATTGTACTGTCAGGCTCCTGGGTGCTGAGGGATTGCAGAGCTGGTGGACAGCAAACTGCAGATCTCTCCAGCATTCTCAGCAGACTATAAACTCATTATTGTAAACATACAGCAATCAAGCCCTGGTAGGTGGGCTGGAAATGCTTTGCTAACACCTCCTCCCCTGGGATGTAGCCTTCCTCTGCACTTCAGGATTAAACTGTCTTGAGAGGCCGAATCCTGCTGCAGTGCCCAAAGATCTGGGCAAAACAGCTGCACATCCCCTGGTCACACAATCACTTCAGGGCTCTTAATGACACCTTAGCATGACCCATACTGCCCAGGAGAACAGGGATGGGCTGCTGAGGTCCCTGTTCACTGGCCAGGCACAGAGCCACATGGACACTGCTCACCTGCTTTGTGCCTTGTTCTGCTCTTTCCTTGTATACCTGTAGTGTAGGGAGGTTTTCTGACCCCCAACTTTGTCAAGCCCGCAGACCTTGCTTCCCACACAAAGTGGACCCAGAGATCTCCCGTTCAGTCCTAGGTCCCACCTCCCTGAGGCTAGAGAGAGGGACAGAAAATGCCACTCACTGTATCAGCATTTGACAGTTGACAGGCTTGGGTTGCTAGCAAAAAGTCACACTGCACACCAAGGCGGGAAGTGTCAGTTTTAGGGCATTCTCATTTAGGGAAAGGATGGGGCCAGGAGGCAAGCGAAGATCTCTCTAGTCTTGGGGAGATTGTCTGCCTCCCCATAGTCCTTCTAGTCAGCCTTCTTCCTCTTTATCCTTTACACATCTACAGAGGAGATCAAAGAGAAAAAGGAATAGAAAGAAGCTTACACTTTTCCAGACTCCTGTAGCATCTCCAGCCACTGAGCCTGCTCAAACTCTGATTCGGCTGCTAGAACAATGTTACCCTGGAAGAGGGGAGGGGAGGGGAAAAAAACCTGGATTAGAAAGGCTGGAGCCTTACACACCTCTGTCCACTCATGGCTAGCACAGCTATGGTGGGGGGAGAGCCCACCACAGGCTTCCACCTCTACAGGAAACATAGCATAGGAGCAAATATGACCCAGGCCAACCACACATTAGAAAGAGATGCACGAGCTAAGCAATCATGGTAGGAATAAAATGATAGGGCAACATGAGCTCTAGGGCTCCTGAATATGTGTCTATTGGTCTGCTGGTATCATAAGACCTGCTGTCAGAAAGAGCAAGTTTCCTTGTGGGTTGTCAAAGCAGGAGCATCAGTAAAGCCTTGAGGGGACTTGGGATGCTAAGCCACCCTCTCTCTCAGGACAGTGTGCCCAGAGAGGGCAGGCATACCTTGGTGAGGTAGAAAAGACTGCCAATCCAGTTCTGCTCATCAGCAATAAAACGTTTTGTGGTGTTTGGGGTTGTTTTTGAGAAGAAAAGAACTCTACTTACATGGAAGTCTTCATGAGAGATCTTTATGGCATAAGGCATGCTGGGCTCTTCTTTGGGCTCCACGATGCAGCCTCCCAGGGGTATGACACCCTGGGGACAAACCAGAGTGCTCCAATCAGTCAGCAAAATCAAGTACAAATATTAACTAACCAGGAGCTGAACTTTTACCCTTGGTCACTTGTGGGCCCTTGCCCTGCCTTGGCTATCCCGGGAGGGCCAATACACACGGTTCCTGAAAAGCAGAGTGACCCCTAGCAGTACCAGGAGACCTCCAAGTGGTATCTGAAAGGGAGTAAAGATGGGCTCTCCTGCATTCGCCTTGGAGGGAAGCCTGCTAGCTAGGACATCGAAGTGGGAGCTCTTTTATCAAGCAGTAGTTGATCTCCCAACAGGGGCAGACGTTGCAGAATCACAGTATGGCGGCATGAGAGAGGCTGAGCATCCACTACCGTCACAACCAGCAGGTCAACATCTGCTATGTGGGGACAGATGGGTGGTCTGCTGCCCCTAACCAGGTTGGGTGAAACCAAGAACTTTGCAAGCACATGTGCTTCACCAGCTTCCAGTGACTACAGAGGAAAAAAAGCAGTCTCAAAGCACAAAGCTGCCCCATGAGAGCTCAAGGTAGCAGAGCTATAGGGGCTGCTGGCACATGGGTCAGCAGGGACTGGCTGCGACCGCCTACACATGTGAGTACAAGTTCAGAACAAGCAACAACCAAAGCTGTTAGCCCCACCACTGGCTTTGCCAACAGTATTCTCAACCACAAGATTAGCTGATTAGGAGATCATGCAATCCAGAGAATACATCTACTATCAGGTAAAAAAAAGTAATGAACCTGCTGAATCATTAAAGAGACTGAAGAGGTATTGACATGAGCCTTGCCTTTTTGAGGCTTCGCTGGATCTGTGAAGTTTGTGAGTTACCTCTTCTTCACTTGCTTGGCCCGAGTGGGGGAAGGGGGGAAGCTATAAACAGAATAACCCCCTCTCCCACTCAAACACTGCTCACCTTGGGGTGGATATTGAAGTATTTATTACTTTCAAAACTCTTCTTCTCACTCTCAGCATAGTAGAGCAGGAAACTTTCCTTAATGATGAAGAACCTTTAAGACAGAGAAAGGAGATAAATTCTGTGAGAACAGAGGTCGTGGTTGACAGCACAATAAAATCTCTGCCTGACTAAAGCTGCTTTCTGAGTAGAAGAGTTGACTATTCCCATCCAAGCCTAAGGTAAGGTGCCTCACTTCTGCTCGCAGCCGAGAGCTAGTGCTGAACACTAAGTGCCAAGTTGAAGTGCTTTGTGCTTGCAGTTTACCACAGCCCAGTAGCAACACGCACCAGTGTTGAAGGCAACCATAGCACCATTTACTCACAGGGGAGTGGGACAGCAGCCTGTGTCCCAGGCAGGAGCACAGCCAAAGCCTTTGGCATCTTGACATGTGCACACTCTATCTGGCCCATGTGTTGGATTCAACCTATTGGAAGACAGCTGCTCCTGTTTTTTAAGGGTCCGTCTCACATGGGATAACAGCAACTAAAAGCTTATTTTTGCTACCTGCTCCCTGCCACCCTCTTTCCTCCCATTTTGACATAAGCCAGAAGGGAAGTGTTTCCTTTGTAACACTGAGTTATATGGCAGGGAGAGTCACAGGCTGGCATCCCCAAGCAACTCTTGAGGCAAAAGATTGGCCACAAGAGCACTCAGGAACAGAAACAAATTTTAGAGATATTTTTAAGCAGAGCTCCTAGCAAAGTCTCCTGTCATTGACCTTTGCAAATACAAAGGAAATTGATTTTTTTTTTCCTCATGCGTGTCACATTAAAATGTGCCTTGTTCTGCTCAGTTAGCCTTAGGTATGCTCTGATGAACACTGTATAGTAGCCACAGATTATCACAGCTTCTGTAATCCAAGCCTCTAATTTACTGGAGCATGTCCTCAAAATTGTGATTAAAGGACTGCCACTTTTAGCTTATTTGGATGTTCAAAATGCCCCTGGGAGAGTCCCTCTTCTCTTCAAAATCTGAGATTGCATCTACCCTGCAGGCAGTGGTACAGGGTACAGATATATGACTTAGCTTAAATTCAGTCTGAATTTCTGCAGCACTCAAAAATGCTGAAGAGCAGCTGAAAAAATAGGGACACGTTTAGTGGGGAGGTTTAAAAAGAGTAAGTGACAAAGCAAATCCATCGCACTTTTCTGTACATATTTTCTGATACGAGAAAAGAGGGACTTGGAAAGAAAGTGAAAGGCAATAAGCTGAAGATTAATAAGGAATGCCTTTTCATACCGCACAAAACACCGCTGTGTAAATCACTTTCACGTGGTCCCGAGGACAAGAGCTCATGAGGAATCTGGAAAGGATAAGGCATTTATGTGAACAATGAGAACATCCCCAGGGAACCCTCCTGCTTCTGGGCAGAAAGCCTCCACTGAGAAGTCTCAGGAAGAGCCTTCTCCAGGCAGCACTTTCCAGTTGTGCAGCCTGGGGATTCCTGCACCTTCCTCCAAAGCCACTGTCAGCGATGGGCTATGGGACGAGAGCTCTGATGCACAAGAGCAATTCTAATACCTCTACGTGTCCATCCCACCCCAGTCCTCTCCTGAAGCAGAGGGTCTGTCAGATGGAGCCAAGTGCTGCCTCCAGTAGACAAGCACAGCAATTTGGTACCAGTTTAGTTCCTAAAGCTAAAGAAAGAAGTCGAAGCTGGTGGAGAATTATCATGATGTTAATAATATATATCAGTATAATATAGTATTAATAATAATCATCATTATTATACCCAGGGGAAAGCTTTACCACTTCCACCAGCTCCTATCTCTTTCTCTTCTGCTGTGACTCTGACAACATAGATGAAATTGCCACATGCTACAGAAACACAAGCCATGGACTCACAGAGGGACTGAAAAACACACAACAAAGCTAAACATCTGAATGCCTGCAGCAAGCTTGAGCTCTGGACGTACTGTGTGCCTGCTCCAAAACATTTAAAAGTGACAGTCATTGAATATCTGCTTATTTACATCGAGAAATCTTTAAAATGCACAAACACCAGCAGCAATTATTGTTCTCCTTGCCCACTCATCTGTACTTGTTCATGTTGACATCAGAGGTGGGGAAAAGCAGCCAGCTTGCTTCCTCAGCAGGACACTGTCTTCTCATACTGTAGGAATATCACAGTTGACTGCCTAGCCTCGCCTCGTGTTCCTGACCACAGCCTGGCAAAATCTCTCTAAGCAGAAAAGCATGACTCAGTGTAAAAATCACTCTTCTGCACTGAGCTCCTTTAGCTGGTAGAGGACCAAAAAGGTGCTCATTCACAGCGCAGCCTGTCCAGCAAGTTATCTGAGCAGGAGCAATTACTATTCACCCTCCAGCCAGCAGACCCATCTCCCCCCCGGACCAGTCTTGTGTCCCAGCTAACATCCCCTCAGCTGGGAAAGCAGTGCCTGACCCTGTGGTAGCTGTCCATACTCTCTTGGTATGATTATAAGAGGTACCCAAGATGGACAGGGAGATGGTCTGTCTGTGGGGCACAACTTGCTTTCCCTGTGATGAGAACCACAGCCTAAAAATCTGCCAGAATCACAGATCAGGGACCAGAGGAGTTTCCTCATGAGGGCAGGCAGGAATGGGAAGGAGTGTCCCAGAAAAAGTGGGGGGCTGGACCACTCGCACAACTTCAAGACACTGGTGAACAAAGCCCACTGAGATGCATTAGGCCCATCTCTGTGGGACACATTCCCACTAGAGCGGCTTCATCAAGGTCTCACCTCTGTCTGAAACAAGGATTGGTATTTTCTGACCTATTTGCACTAATGGCAAAGGCAGCCATGACCCCTGCAGCAGGCTCAGAGCTGACCCTGGCCAAGGCAGATATCAGACCTCCACAGAGCAGACAGGGCTTGTTCCTGGTTTCTCCTGTCCACGTAATTTATGTGAGCAGCAGCCTTCTGCCTTCCTGCTTCATTTTCCCTCCCATCTCTTGTCATTAACTCTATGACAAAGTTTTCATATGAGCAGTTACATCTTCACTATGCATCTCCAATGCCTAATTCAAAAAGGACTTGATTTTTTAGAGGTTTACGTTACCCCATCTGCACAATAAATGTGGAAATAACATATTTAAAGAAAAAAATGACCCTGCCTGGCCAACAGACTCTGCTCAGTACAGTGGATCAGAGAGTAAATCAGGTACTGTTGGGCACAAATAAAAAAACAAGGAATAAAAAACAACACACCATGTGAAATGGAAAAAGTCTATTCATTGCTTTTAACAGTGTTTTCAGACTGAACATCCTCAAGAAACATTTGCAAGATAGGTAAACATACTGATCTTTAACCATATGTGATTTTTAATCTAAATGTTAATCCACAGTTAAAGCCAGGCTTTAATTTATTACATTTTGTCTGCTCAGTACTCCTGATAAGCAGTGGAAAACAAAACAAATAAACAATCAAACAAAACAAACCCAACCCAGAACAAAGCATGGCACAGCTCTTTGAGAATTGATGTGTCTGGCAGATTAATGAACTTTTAGATCCCTGACCTCAAAGATGTGGAGAGAATCTGTGGGGATTTGGAATGAAAATACACAAAATAGGAGTTAAACAAACAAACAAACAAAAAAAACCCAACAAAACCCCACAGCAAATAATGAAGGAAAACCATTGGAAATCTGGCTAGCTGACAGACATCATATATGTATGCTCAGATCATATTCCCTCATCTATCCTTACCCAGAAGGCAACATCTAAGTAACTAAGATAACCACTTTAACTTTGACTTTCTGGACAAACTCTCCATGCAACGATGCAAGGATAATTGATGTAGCATGACAGAAAGAGGGATGAAGTGAAGGAGTAGAGGAGAAACAGCTGCAAGACTTGAGAGCAATACAAGGACTGAAGCAGCAGCCAGATGAACAGGAGCAGGAAGGGCAAAGATGGCCAAGGGAGAATGAGGACATCCAGTCAGGACTGGGACTAATGGGCCAGAGACAATTAACATGCACCTGAATTATAGAATCATAGAATTGTTTAGGTTGGAAAAGACCCTTAAGATCATTAAGTCTAACTGTAAGCCTAACACTGCCAAGCCTACCACTATCCATGTCCCTAAGCACCACATCTGCATGGCTTTTAAATAGCTCCCGGGATGGTGACTCCACCACTTCCCTGGGCAGCCTCTTCCAGTGCTTGACAACACTTCTGGTGAATAAACTAGGCACAGATGTGCCAGCAGAAGAAAAGGGAGGGCCATAAAGACAGGGAAAGATTTTTAATAAAAGCAAGAAACTGAAAAAGAAGATATTAAAAAACAGAGCAGCATTCAAAAAGCCTGTAGAGCAGCAGCGAAGGTGGGAGGTGAGAAGACCTGGTACAATCATGCACACTCCCTGAGCAGCACAAGTAATACAAGAGCCATTCACACATGGCCAATTCCTTTGGGTCACCCATCCCCTGTTGCTACATGAAAGAAACCACTGAAACAGCAGTGTAATTACACTGGAACAGTGGAGGAACAGTAACAATCCCAGCGACATGGATGTAAAGCCACAGATGTGATCCACCAGGATTAGACAAAACAGCTCCATACTGGGCAGAGATACCTGATCTCTGGGGATAAAGTGCTTTCTTTGCGTCACAGAGGGCTAACAACATTAATTAGCTAATCTGTAAAAGTTTTTGAAGTGACAATGGCCTATGTTAATTATTTACATTATAAGAATAGGCTGCCCAGAGAGGTTGTGGAGTCTCCTTCTCTGGAGATGTTCAAAACCCGCCTGGACACTTTCCTGTGCAACCTGCTGTAGGGAACCTGCTTTGGCAGGGGGGTTGGACTGGATGATCTCCTGAGGTCCCTTCCAACCCCACCATTCTGGGATTCGGTGACTGCAGCAGTCTCACTTCTCCTTCCCTCCAATAGTGGTTTTCTGGGCACCAGTCCAGGAGCACAGGCACAGCAAATCCCAGTTACTACATCAGCCCAGTTCTCTCTCCCTGGGGACAGCTCAGGGAAACAACAGGCAGAAGATCTTTATCAGTGTGTCAGCTCAGTGAGTACCTGTCCCTCACTCTTCCTCTCCAGACAGCCCTGGGCTTTCCTGCCTGCCTCCTGCTGCTGGGCTTTCCTACCTGCCTGGCAGCTGGAGCAGGCAGCGGGAAGAGATGGACACTTCCCAACAGCAACCAGCCAAGTAGGAAGCTTGCAAGGACAAGAGGGAAACACACAGTCTGCTTGACTCACAGTCCCACTGCCTCTTCCCACGCTGCACGCAGGCATGCACGCACACCGCTCTGCAGCAGGAACCGCGCTGCGTGTTTTCCAGCCTTTTTAGAGCAGAAAACAGCCTTACACAATTATCCTTTCCCTCTGTCCTGTGACCACATCCAGTGACTGTTGGTAGCAACTCTGCTGGACAACAAGGTGATGTGCATGCTTTGCAGTGCCAAAGAGAAGATAAAATTTCTCTCTTAAGTGTGCTGTGTTTCCCTCCTTCCAGCAGCAACCTGGCATCTTTGATGAATTTACTCATAGGTACAAATATATTTTGTGTTCTGTTCTTTACTCTTTTCAACTCCTCATGTTCCTCCTTGCCTTCTGATTCCAGCTGACCATTGAGCAGATGACCTCCTGGAACTATCCCCCTTGGCCCCGACAGTCAGTTTAGAGCCTGACATTTCTATGTGGGGCCAGGATTATTCGCAGTAGAGGAGGACGTGTCAGCTCCTTCCTACAAAGCTACAGTGCCCCGTTCATGCCACATCCAGGGCAGGTATCTACCTTGTATGTGTTGTTTCCAGACTCCATGCCAGGCTGATGCTTTTACCAGAACAAGCTTTTTAGTAAGAAAGAGGCTAAACTGCTTGTTAATTGGAAGGAAAAATGGGGTGCAGCTTGGTGGGAAGAGGAGGACCACAAGTCAAGGGCTGAGAATATGACTTTCCAAAGCCACTCCAAGAGTGACCCAAACTTAGACTGGTCAAAAGCACAAGTAATCTCAGAAGATGGTTGCATCTCTCTTGGAAGGATATTACTTTACAAGGAAAGAAAATTCACATTAGCCAAGGAATAGAACTTCTCTTGGAGAGGTAGGAGCTAGGATGCTACTAATGGCATTTCAAAATAAAGCTCTGAAAAGCACTATGCTCAGGCATCAGCCCAGACAGGTAAACACAGCTTCGTTGGTCCAGTGCCCCCAGCATCCAGCTCACCCTCAGGGTCACTACCGGAGGCAGCACACAAATGCTAAGCCTGCAGGACAGACCATTGTGTGGGCAAGGGAAAGGACCAAAAGTGCTCCAGACAACTGCCTCATGTCAAGCCATTCTGTCCTCACAGGTGCTATCGGAGCCAGCTCTGCTATCCCTCCTTGTTTTCCTGCATAACCTCTACTGCAGCAAAATCCCTAACCTGGGATTTCAATCACTGAAGCACTGGACACCATGCCCAGACTTTTTACCTTGATCCATTATCCAGTCAGCCTCCATCCTTCCCTTAAACACTTGTTTTTCTTCTCAGTATCTCCAGCAGCACTGTTGTTACAGCCAAATTAATGGGATCAAGCCACTAAGTATCATGCATCTCTTAAAAGCCATGCAGACCCATCTGTACAGCTGATGGCCTGATGTGAGCAATCCTTCCGTTACATGCTGCTTTATCTCCCGTAGCTTGGAAAGACTTTCCTCAGGCTAGGGAGTACTCTTGCCCAGTGCAAAATTACTTCACAGCAAAGGTACTACCTGTCAATACCAAATAGCTAAAAAGTAGTAGTCTAAGATTTCAGGACAAAATCTACACTGCTCAGAGATCACATCCTCAACTGTATCTAGCAATAGTATTTTCTTTTCCTTTAACTTAACTAGAATGAGCGCTCCTTTTCATAAAATGAGGCACTTGACCAGCTGTGTCTTGCTGCACATGGCGGGGTAGCTGGGGGAAATGGACGAATTGCTCCTTATCTCCCCATAGTGACTGACATATAATAATATGAAAGATTTTTTTACACCAAAGCAAATCTCTCTTGTGATTAAAAAAATCTTATGTTTCCTCCTGTTCCAGTTTTTTTCACTCCAGAAACCCCTTCCTTCCAGACCCTACATGTTCCCTGTGTTCATCTCCCACTGACGTGTCTCTGGTACCCCAGGACCCTCAGCTGCTGTGCTTACAGCTACTTTCCACATCACCCCTGTCCTACAGTCACCTCCCCACCTCTTCCCATCTGCTAGCACTGAAATATTTACCACTTGCTGAAGATGGGGGTGACATCTAGGAATAGAGCAGTAATAAATAAATAATGACAGAGAGAGCAGAGATGGGCCATTTGCCTGCCAGAAATTTTGATTAGGAAGAAGAAAGCCTTTTAAAAGTGTCTCTTCCATGGCAAATTACCTTCCCCTCTGTTATTCTGTCCACTTATTTTCTGTAACACAGTCACACTGGTTTCCAGACATAATTCATTTAAATATCATGTTTTTGGGAGCTGAATAGGAAGCATCAGCACAAATTCCCTCCTGGGTGAAAAAAAGGCCACTGTTTTCAGGGTGGACAGGAGGGAAGTAGAAAATAAAACCTGCAGGGAGGTCAAAGGTGGCTACAAACACAAGACTGCTTCCCAAGCAACATTTAACTGGTTCTCAGGTTTTGTTTTTTTATTTGATGTGTTGTGTCTACACTGCAGACCGCAGCAAAAAGATACCCACAAAAGGGTAAGTACCAGAGGTAGCAGCAGACATTGCTCATGTGCAGGTTAATGTATTCTTCTGGAAAGTCTCAAGACACACTGTGCTACAAAGGCTGCAAAACTGCCCCCTAGATCCAGAGGTAACTCAGGCTTCCTGTGCTGCCTTTTCTTAATGCATTGGGTTTGTGTGGCAAGGTTTTGG